CAAAGTCCGATGGGAAAAATACTGACCCTTGTGCCTAAAGAAGTCTAGAATTTCCCTCACCTAATACATAACGAAGGAGCAAAAACACATACACCTCAGAAGACATCACCAGGAGTAACTGATGGACAATGAAAGGGGAAGGCTGTAAGCGTTTCCCATGGACCAGGTGTGACCCACAGAAGAGGCAGAGCTGGCCCTCTGGGCCATGTCAAGTCCCATCCAAGAGGGCCCCCTGGCGGTGAGGTGATCAGCCGTGAGAACTGAGAGATCTGCCAAATGCCTAGGAGCTGCAGAAGCCCTGGGCAGCCAGCCTAGATGTTTGCTGATATTGAGGAACTGATCAAAACCTCAGCTAGGGGATGGGAGTCCCCTGAAGTACACCTCCAAGTTTCCCCCCTGCTGGGTCTCAGGAGATCAGAAGGGCATCAGTTAAGTAAGACCTTCCTGCCCCTTCTATCTCCTCCCTCTGCAGCCCCCATCCTGGAACCAGGGACACCTGGGTGAGTGAAGAAAGAGGAAGAGAAACGCCAGATAGAGAGGATGCTCTTTCTGTCCCCGGTGGGAAAGAGAAGGAAATCCAGGGTTCATGGAAACAAGCCTTCCGACGACTGAAATAGGAGTCTTTGTATAAACAGAAGGAACCAGAGAATTTGTTACTGCCCAAGATTTATCCTAAAAGCTAATGGCATCTGCCACAGACCTCATCCCAGGGGAAAGGGAAGAGCCAGCCCTACAGAGAGTGTGAAGAGGCATCCTGGGAAGGAAGAGAGTTATTTTCTGACTTTATCTGTGAGTCTTGCCTACTCAACAAGAATGACACAGAGAGATTAAAAAAAAAAAAGAGTAAAAAAAGAACTTCATCTAAAAAAACAAAAACAGAGTGGGGATCCAAGTGAAGTTAAAGTTGCTGACACCTGGGCTTCCCTGGCCCAGTCCAATATATGGACATACGGGGCCTGCAAGGCCACCTGGAGGAAACTTACATAGGCTTCTGACTTTGTTGGCATTAGTAAATGTCTAATTACCATATTTTCTCAATAAAATTTGTATCAGCTCTCCTTACTCAAAACCAAAATCATTCGTTAATAGGTAATATTGAAATTTCTAATCTTCCTATGAATACCACCAGGAACTTTGGCTGGAAGGCAAGAAAAATATATGAAGTGAGATTTCAGTGCCAAAATCAGAAAATGAGAGAGAGAGAGAGAGAGAGAGAGAGAGAGAGAGAGAGAGAGAGAGAAGTCAAGGGGTAACAAAGCCAGGAACCACTGATAAAAATAATAACTCATATGCAAGGCAAACATTTATTGGGGGCTCTTAATATATAGACTCTCCTTTGCTCTTCACAACAACCCATTACTATAGTGGACAGTATGACAAATAAGAGTGTAGGCTTCCCACTTGCAAATGTGCCGGTCATGTTATAAGTACTCAGCATAAGTTACATATTAACATAGGTGCTATTAACATAGGTGCTAACATGGGTGCTATTATTTCACCTTGTACAGGTGAGGGAATGGAGACTTAGAAAGGTTAAATAAATTATTAGGCATCTTTCGGCAAGTAAGGATGAAGGCACGACTTGAATCTAAGGATCTGACATTCTAAGAATGAGTGTTCTCATTTTTTTAAATATATTGATTTTTTACAGAGAGTAAGGGAGAGGGATAGAGAGCCAGAAACATCGATGAGAGAGAAACATCAATCAGCTGCCTCCTGCACACCCCTCACCGGGGATGTGCCCACAACCAATGTACATACCCTTGACCGGAATCGAACCTGAGAACTTTCAGTCCGCAGGCTGACTCTCTATCCATTTTGGTGTTCTCATTTTTAACCTGGGGAGTTTGACACCCACTCATTTCCCCTTCCAGCGTATCTCTTTCTGAGACCTGGTCACCCAAGAAGCCCGTTCTGTATTTCATCTAGGTAGTGCCTTGCTGCCAGCCAGCTGCCAACCAAACCCTAAGCCAAAGCTGAGGCCGATAGCTGGGAGACTACATGTAATACTGCCAGGAGCCTGGCCCTTTAAAGGAGGGCTGTAAGAGCTAAAAAGATGATGGACAAATGCCCCAGTCCAATGAATAGAATGGTTCGTCCATTTGGTGGGGATTTCTTGCCCAAGAAATGGGAGATGGAAAAAAAGAAAGATGACAACAGCTAGTAGAAATGACCACATCGTTGGACACATTTTTTCATATCCAGATTGCTAGCTTTGGTCCAGAGCTGAACAGCAGGTGGAGCTAGTTCTCCGGAGGTGGCTGTGGGAGCTGCTTCTTAACAGCTTTGGATAGAGCTTAACATTAGGGAGGAAAGGAAATGGGCAGAGAGGAGTGGGCTACACCAAGACAATGGGTCTAACACCAATTAATTCTCATGGCAGGGTGTTAAATTTTTACCCCTCCCCTTCAATCTTTACTTTGTGAATACCAAATAAACCCTATATTAGGATTGGCTATCCTCCCCAATATCCTTTCTCTCCCCCAAGCTCCTCTTTAAAACAGCTCAACTTCATCCACTTAGTAAACACGTGTTGGACTGAAATGAATGCAAGATCTCGGGTCTGCCCAGCAGTAGGATGGCCAGAGCCATATCTCCAACAACCATTCAAGATGCTACACTGCAATCACACTCAACATTTTGAGACTCAAACCCATCTTCTAACACAAACTCTGCTCCCATAAGCACCCGAGATAACTGGGAGTCATCTTTCTTAATTTTCCATTAACCAGATCTCATAAATTTGCCTCTCTGATAATGTTCTTCCCATTGGAACACTCTTTCTACCAACACCACTGCCTTCCTTCAGACTTGGAGATTTTTACAATTTATTTGAAACAAGCTAATTCAACTTTTGGGCTCTGTGATTTTTTTTTTTTTTTCCATTCAGGGAGTAGACATCCCTTGATACACATTGAGACATAGAGAAAAAGAGCTAAGCCCAGCCTGGCCAGTGTGGCTCATTGACTGAGCATTGACCCATAAACCAAGAGGTCACCAAGTCAATTCCCAGTCAGGGCACAGGGTTGCGAGCTCCATCTTCAATAGGGGGTGTGCAGGAGGCAACTAATCAATGATTCTCATCATTGATGTTTTTAGCTCTCTCTCCCTCTCTAAAAATCAATAAAAACATGTTTTTAAAAATTGTTTTTTAAAGAGCTCATATCAGGCCAGGTGGTTCAGTTGGTTGAAGTGTCATCATTTAGTTGGAGCACCAAAGGTTGTGGGTTCAATCCTAGTCAGGGGGTATCCAGGAGGCAACTCATCAATGTTTCAATGCTTTCTCTCACATCAATGCTTCTCTCTCTCTCTCTCTCTCTCTCTCTCTCTCTCTCTCTCTCATTCAAGTCAATTTTAAAAAAACATACCCTTGTGTGAGAATTTGAGAGAGAGAGAGAGAATAATCCTTGGACTTGGGCCAGACAATAGGGTAACAAAAAGAGGCTCCAGAATCTCATATTAAAAAAAGAGAGGAAAGAAAAGTTGAAACCGGCAACCCAGGGAGGCTGTCCTAGAAAGGGGGAGAAGAGGCAAGTGCAAAGGAGTTAAAATTGGGGAGGCTGGGGAAGCAAAAAGACATCACGTGTAAACGGAGCTTTTCTGTTGCTAGCAACAATGATCTTCCCGGTCCTTAGAATTCAGTGGTCTTCACCATACCCTGATTTCACCCAAACAAATTTTGAAGAACCTAGGGAGAGGACATGAAAACAAATGGAGTGATTAATCACAGTCCATCCTCCTGTTCAAGGGCTTGAGGTGAGTTGGAGTCTCAGTAGTCACACAACAATCACTACTTGATGATGCAGTGCTGAGGTCACAAGTGGGACTCCCCTCCCCCGCTCCCCCGCTTCCTCATTGCTGAGCAGAGGAACCAGAGGGGAAAGCCACCTTCCCAAGCACAGCCAAACCATCTACCTCACTCGACTACTTGTCAAGTTCAGTACCAACACAAAGGGGTGAGTTGCATGTACAACCTGAAATGCCCCCCCTCCCTCGTTTTGATCTCCTTTCCTGGGAGTCACCTAACTCATCCCCAGCAGTAAACAAGGTTGAGATAGTGGCCATACCCAAGTGCAAGTTTCCTTTTACTTTCAGTATTCAGGAATACGCATCATCTGAAAGAGAGATTCTTAACAATTTTTTGGAGTTAAATTTCGTGATCTCTATCTCCAGAGAGCAATACTGATTTGAAGACCAAGTTAGATAAAGTTGTACTTTTATATTGTTAAATCAAAGTGTGCCAATGAAATCCAAACTGAAAGTCTTCTCGGAGACTAAAAACCCCTGTTGTATCTAGAAGCCAACATGTCCATGGAGGAAGACCCAGCTCAAGGCAAAACTCAACAAAGGGAAAAGGAATTCCTCCTCACCATTGTATTTTGTGGTCCTAACATTTATGGTTTCAGAGAAATTAGAATTTTCCAGTTCATCACATCCTCTCTTGATTTCTTCACTGTAGGAGGGTTCCTAGAGTGGTCCAGCCATGGTAGGGATGCAACCATCTTCTGTTGCCAGCACTTGAGTGAAAAAAAAAAAATTCTCAAGGTTTGGAGGAATTAAACTGGACACAGGATTGAAAGAAGTTCCTGGGTCCAGAAGCCCATAAACTAATACACCCTCTCATTCCACCTCCAGAGGGATGGGGAGTGGCTTTACAGGAGCCTCTTAGCAGTCTGATCAAACTTACAGAATCTTTGGGATGCTTTTAAATTAATTAATTTTAAATTAATGTTTTAAAATGCATGAGGTTACAGGTGATACTGAGTATATTGATAAATACATGGTTAAATACAGTTCTTATGATTTGGGGGGTGCAGGTGGGGGGGGGGTTCCAGGACCCTAAGTTAAGAACTCCTACTAAGAGCTGTGAAATGGGGACAAGAGTGAAATGAAAGCAAAGAAAGGAGAGATCAAGAAACATAGTCACCAATCCACCAAAACAAGAGCAACCTAAGAGTTTAGTCTAGAGCCTGAACACACTTGGGAGAGCTTTCTTAGGAGCAGGACGGGCGGGAGGTATGGGTAGGCTGTACTGGCCCCCTCTCACTTTGCAGAGTGGCCTCCCATATACAGTCTGTCACACATTTCTTTGCAGGGCCCGGGAAGTCAAGAAAGAATGTCGAGTGATGATAAAAATAAGCCGAGCGAGCCCAAGAATGAGCCCAAGACCTGTGACCCAAAGTGTGAACCAAAAGTTGAGACCAAATGCCAGCCCAGCTGTTTAAAGAAGCTGCTGCAACGGTGCTCTGAAAAGTGCCCACGGGAAAAGTGCCCACCACCGCCCAAGTGCCCCCCATGCCCTCCGCCATGTCCCCCGCCACCATGTCCCAAGCCATGCCCCCCATGTCCTAAGCCATGCCCCCCGTGTCCTAAGCCATGCCCATGCCCATCACCATGCCCTCCCAAAGTGTGTACCAAGCCCTGTCCTCCTAAATGCCCACAACCCCAGTGCCCACCCCCCCAGTGCCCACCCCCAGAGTGAGGTATCAAGGGCATCACCCAGCCCCATATCACCATCATCTCCGCATGCTCACCACCTTGGGGCTGAGAACTGAAACCATGAACTGACAAGTAAATGTGTCCCTCTGCTGTGCAAAAGACTTGCTTCTCCTGGGGTGTTGTTTTGTTTTTTTTTGTGGGGTATTTTTGGCAGTTCTTGATTTATCTGTTGTTTTCCAGCACCAAACCACCCAGCAGCTATCCCTGAGGAGTGAGGCCAAGACCCCGGCCTTCCACCATCAACCACCTTTTAAGACGGTGTCTCCTCTGGCCCCACCTGCTATATATAGAGAGATGGCATCTTCTGAGGGTGCACTCAGGGTACAGTTCCCTGTAAGCGCACAGCCTGAGAGCCATAAAGATGGCTGTTCAAGTGTCTAATGCCAGGGACCACGTGGGCATGAGGGAGGAAGAGAGCATGAGGATGAAGAGAAGGGGATCTTAGGAAAGGTCCCGGAAGGCTCAGGACAAGAACCCTACCTGTTGCTTTGAGACCCATTGCCCAATGCTTGGACAGAGCACTCTGAACCAGGCTGCATGGATTTTTAAAAATATTATTATTATTATTATTATTTTAATATATTTTATTTATTTTTCACAGAGAGGAAGGGAGAGGATAGAGAGCTAGAAACATCAATGAGAGAGAAACATCAACCAGCCACCTCCTGCAAACACCCCATCGGGGACATATCCGCAACTAATGTACATGCCCCTGACCATAATTGAACCCAGGACCCTTCAGTTCACAGACCGACACTCTATCCACTGAGCCAAACCAGTTTTTGGCAGGCTGCATGGGTTTAAACTCCAGCTCTGCTCTCTACTTTGTGACCATAAGCAAGTGGCTTAATTTCTCTGAGCCTTAGCTTCCTCCTCTCTGTACAAGTAATGATGATGCTAATGGTGCTGGTGATACAGGGTTGTTGTGTGGCTTAAGGAGTTCAAGGCCAAGTGCCTGACTCCCTGGGACATAGCCCGTGTTTAGTGAGGGGAGCACAGTGCACCTGCCCAGGTGTGACACATTGCACCTGAACTTAATTGCACAGCGGGCCTTAATTGCCCTGGGCTGCTCTTCATCAGCCTGCGAGTCTCCTGGATGCAATAGTTAGGCTCTAGCTTACACCTGTAAGCATGATGAGATGTTCCTTTAAAAAATGAAACAGGCGTTGTGGACGACATTCAAGTCAGTTGGCTGACTTTGACCCTGAACTACCATTATCTAACAGATTACCATTGCTAGAGTTCCAGGGAATGGTAAAGTGGGCTCTCCATTTTTGCAGCCTTCTGTGACTCCATAAAATTTCAAAAGAAAAACTTAAGTACAGGAAAGAGTAAACTGGGAGGACCTCTACTGGAGATGAACAGGAAAAGCATTCTCAGCTGATATGTTAGTGGGGATTAGTTACAGGTGGCTAAAGATAGTGCACACCAAACAGCTTAACTCATAAAAGGAAATTTATCATTTCAAGTGGCTGGAAAGGGTATTGGGATGATGTGGGGGGAGGCACAGAATTAAAGAGAGAACTGTAGGAACCAGGACTTCAGGAGCGTGGACTCACTGCCACCCTGTCAGTCTTCCTCATCTCTCTCCATCAGTCTCCACTCCTTTCCAGGGTGGGTCCTCCCACTCTGCCCTAGGGCCCCTCCGTGTGGGAAGGTCCTTGGCTCAGTGCAGACCCATCGTGTTGATGGATTGGGCATGAGGTCTCCTATTATTTCCAGGGGGCAGGGGAAGTAATTGTTGGAAGGTCATGAGCAACCCCTCTGACCGAATGAGAAGGAGCTTTGCCACCCCGTCACAGTCCACAACACTCAAGTGAAAGGAGGGTTAGGCTTCTCTGCTGTCCCGGTAAGAGGGATTGGGAGGCCAAACGTGGGGGCTCCCTGTGAAGTCTGGGCACATAAACAGCTGTCCTTCCTCCTGAATCTAGAAGGTAGTTCAGGACAACCCAGGGTGCAGAGAGTACAGAGTCCAAAGTGGGCCCAAGGAAAGGCACCTGCGGTCCCCACCAGACCAAGGTCATTGCAGAAGCAGACTTTTAGGACAAAAGAGCTGACAAGGCCTTTAGGGGAATCACTTCATTCTCCAGATGTGAAAACAGACAGTTACTTTCTCGGACAGGCGGAGGCCTTGGGGTCTTGGTCTCCTGGCAAGAATGGGAGCCTGGCACCCACACTCCGGGGCGTGCAGAGAGTGCCTCCGGGACAGGGGAACCTCTGGAAGCCTAGTTCAGGACATTAGGGGGCCTGTGGCCCACTGTTGATGACAGGTTGAAAATTATTCTGCCCTCATCTCCCAAAAAAGGAGGAGGGAGAGCCCTGGTCGGTGTGGCTCAGTTGGTTGAGTGTCCTCACATGCACTGAGAGGTGCCTGGTTTGATTCCCAGAAGGTACAGGCCCGGGTTGCAGACTACATCCCCAGTAAGCCAATGTTTCTCTCTCCCTCTCCTTTTCTTTCTCTCTAAAATCAATAAGTTTTTATTTTTTTAGAGCCCTAGTCAGTTTGGCTCAGTGGATAGATCATAGGCCTGCAGACTCAAGGGTCCCCAGTTTGATTCCTGTCAAGGGCATGTACCTTGGTTGTGAGCACATCCCCAGTAGGAGGTGTGCAGGAGGCAGTTGATCAATGTTTCTCTCTCATTGATGTTTCTAACTCTCTATCCCTTTCCCTTCCTCTCTGTAAAAAATCAATAAAATATATTTAAAAAAAAAAAAAAGGAAAAGAGGGGGGAAAGACATAGAACAACGTGATGTGATGTCCTCCATCTATTTAAATATCACTCTTAAGTAACAAAGCCCACAGTCCCAGTGTTAGAGAGTGTTGGTGAAAGTGCAAATAGACAAAAAATCCTTTAAGGAAAGCATTTGAGAAATATGGGAATAAGAATCAAAAGGATAAAATGGTTCAACTTTTTGGCCCAGTTGTTTCATGTCTTGAAATCTGTGTAAAGAAATCAAGTTCTGAATGGGTTGGGGGAGGTTATATAAAGTTGATTACCATAATGTGCCAGAAAAATTTAAATACCTAACAGGGGTCTGATTAAATTTGGACTATTACTTGGTAGAATATTACATGTTCATTAAAATGTATAAAGCAACTATGTTTAACCAAAAACTTCTATAAATAATGATAATAATAATAGGGGGAAAATTTGTCAGCATTCTAGTTATTTTAGGACAATGGAGTTATAGGTAACCAGTAGAATATGTTTATTTTTTCGCTAGTTTCTGGATTTCCCGTCAAAGGTTATTTTATAAAAGGTTATTTTATAAATTATTTTATATTATTTATAAAAAATAATATAATTGTGTATAGTTGAGAAACCCCCAAAATCCTTTCATTTGCTCAAAGAACAAAAAAAAAGGGGGGGTGGGGGATGGTAAGGAGAAAGAATGTCTTCTCACACCTGTGCACACCATGTGGAAGATGCCCTCCTCCTGGGTGCCTGCCTTGGAGATGTAGGAGCTCCCTCCCTCCTGGCCTCCCAATGGCTCCATGGCAGAGTCAGGCAGGGGCTGTGCCCTCCCGGATGGCTCTGAGGACTCCGGACACAGACTGGGTGGCAGCCAGCCCTGAGCACATGAAACCATCCATTTGCCAATGTGTTTTCTTTTCTCCCATGTAGCCACAGATACACATCTCTTAATGGCTACTTTCCCAGCAAAAAGCTGGATCAAAGGCAATTCTGGGAAAGATGGCTAGAACGTGATGAGTGTGCCACCTCCCTGCAGAATGCCATAATTACTCCCAGCCCCAGCAGCAGTGCCCATCCAGGTCCTGCCCCAAGTGGAAGAGGGGTGTATATGTAAGTAAGCTGGGCCTGAGGAGTGGCAGCTGGGAACCTGCAGTGCCAGGCTTGAGGGCTCACAGGTAATGTGATGGAGTGGCACCAAGCCCTCTCCTTTCATGGAAAAACAATTCTGAGGGTCATGAGGATGGTGATGAGATGAGACTACCATAGACCCCTTGCAGTATTCCTTTCTTGAGAATTGCAAAGGACTTCTAAGACCCCCCAAACCAGGCTAACAAGGGCGACTGGCTGTGAGGTGGGCCAGTGCTATGAAAGGGCTGCCCAGAACCACACAGATTTCTTAGGAAACCAGGAACTGGAGAGGTCATTTTCATGCATTCCCCCCCCCCCACACACACACAAATGACAACTAGGGAGCTATCAGGAAGGAACCAGTGACCAATCCTGTCTTGTTTTCCTGTCCTGCGTCCACATGGTCAGACCTGGGTACACATCTGCTTACACTGGACTGCAAGCTCCTTGATAACAAAGCCTGCCCAGCACAGCGGACATTCAATTAATGAATGCCTGCTCAGCGGCTTTGGAGTCACTTTTTCAAGAGCCTCATCCAACTTTGCTCCTTACCCTCACCACTTGTCATTCCCAGAGTTCGGAGGTGGGGGTAGGGTGAACAGGCTGAATATGGGTGGCTGGGGGCTGAGAGAGAGGCATCCCTGACCTTGGTCATTTTCCCCTTAGGTCACAAGATGTAGATCCTTCCTGTCCTTTCTCTGGGCAGTGCAACCTGGAGCAGCTTCTCTCTCTCTCTCTCTCTCTCTCTCTCTCTCTCTCTCTCTCTCTCTCTCTCTCTCTCTCTCTCACCTAATATATTTCTGATAAACCAGATATTGAAAAGAAAACAAAGCCATACACATGATACAAATGTGGAAGAATATTGGTGTTTTTTTAATCCTCATCCAAGGACATGTTTATTGATTTTAAGGAGAGGATAGGGGAAGGGAGGAGAAGGGACCAAACCCACAGCCTAGGTGTGTTCCCTGACTAGGAATAGAACTTATGACCTTTTTGTGTACAAAGTGATGCTCCAACCAACTGAGCCACACTGGCCAGGCTCTGAAGGCAGGTAAACGTAAGGGTCATCCCCTCGACTTCATTCCCAGGCTGGGCCCCCAGAGAGACCACAAATCACAGTAGAAGACAAGGTGACTTGCGCTTCGATGAATGTGAGAGCCAGGAGTGGCATTTAAGAGACCTCAGTGTCCAGGTGAGGAAACTAAACTCCAGGGAGGGAAATAGCTCAACCAAAGCAGCTGTGATTTCTAACTGAGTCTAGGATTTCTAACTTTGATTAAGGCCAGGATGAGCCAGCACCCAATGCAAACAGGAATAGGATTAAAGGCCAACATCAAATTGGAATAATTTGGGAACATCATTTGGCCCCACATTTTGTCAGGGTCTTTGGCCTGGGGATCATGAACCCAATCCCAAAGGTCAAGGTGTGAACATATGCATATTTTCTTATCAACCCCAAACTATTAGGAACCATTGGCTAGTCTGCATTTTTGTCACCTCCTTGAGGTTTTGTAAAGAAGCTCCTAAATGTTTTCAAAATAGACCATTGCCTAGTCTCACCACATGATCACGAACAAGGCCCTTCACACATTTGCTCCTAACTCTACTCACCTGAAAACAATGCAGCCAATGTAATAACGTTGTGCGTCCTGTTGAAAGCATGAGCGCGTGCTGGACTAAAACCAGGAAG